GATCGTGCACGCGGCGCGCACACACCTAATGGAATGGATATGAGCAAGCACTCGAAGAAGAACTACATTATTTGGTGACCCTTCTGTGATTTATCCTCTCCCCCGCCCCACGTCTGCAGTGAAATTTATTAAAAATTTCTGTGCCAAAATCATAGTCGTTACCGTATTGGGTTTTTCTCATCTCCTCAATCACAGTCTTTACAAAATAAAGGGGTTTTTTTTAGGATTCTTGTATTTTATTTACAGAAATAGCATAACAGCATTAGCCAATCAGAAACCAAACACCTGACCAAAATGCAGTATATAATTTAAAAACAAAATTTGTTTTTGGTAAGCTATTCTCCATTTAGCAGAAAATAACCAAGTATGTCTAGTCACTAAGCCAGAGACAATCACCAATATATTTAGCCCCACTATAACTTTTGTAATAATGTCAGGGCCAAAACACACAAAGGTCGGGGATGAAATGGTATACTACGAGTAGACACTGCAGGAAGGGGAGTAAAGAATGTTTGAGTAGATATCACTGTAGGAGGGTGTGACAGGGTGCTGAGCAAGAATTGCTGACTCAGCCCTCTGTCACACCAGCTCCCATTAAGGGAAGTAAATTGGATCTGGCTAGAGGAAACCTGCGCCTAATTGGTGAACGGGAGACATCCATAGCCTGGGGCTATATGAAAGGCTGAGAGGAAGGAAGCCAGGAAAGAGGAAGTGAGTAAGTGGAAGCAGAGCGATATCTCTTCCCTCCTGGGTGCAGACCCTAGAACCCAAGCTGTGTATGGTGAAAAGGTGGTGGGAGCATAACCTGTAAATAAATGGCACCAGTGGCTACTGAACTCCAGGGTCTCTGAGTGACTTTGTCAGCACATCAGGGGAAGAAGGTCCTGCAACACCCTGCTACAGAGGGCAATAGGTTGAGGAACTTTAGCACAAAGAGGTGCGGAAGAACTTTGAGGTCTGAATAACGTGGCATTCTGTGACCTTTAAGGAATGGAGAAACCCCCATGAGGTTGTAGCTATTTTCAGACGTTAGAATCACTTCAGACCAACTAAACCATGACTGTTGGCTAATCCTACTTTAAACAGACTGCAAGTATCAATAATACAGATCACACTACTTACTTTACAAAAGTAGTTCCACTGACATGTATGCAGCTACTGATGTGGAGTCAGGACTACAGAATCAGGGCCATAATTTAAAATGATCACTTTACTGGATTTCAATCAGTGGCTTTCAACCTGTGGTCCGTGGACTCCTGGGGGTTCACAAACTATGTCTAAAGGGTCTCTGAAAGTCTGCTGTTACCATAGAACAGTGGTTTTCAACCTGAGGTCTGCAGACTACGTCTAAGATTTCCAAAGGAGTCCACACCCCCACTCAAAAATGTTTAGGGCTCCGAAAATGAAAAAAAAACGTTGAAAACCACTGATGTAAATTAATGTACAAATGGGATAATTCCTGCAGCCTTTACTCAGACTCAACTCCTATTTACTTCAGTGGGAGTATTACTTAGTTAAAGACTGCAACGTTAGACTCCTACTAACTGAATTTACATCAATGATATGGTATAATACACCTCTACCCCAATATAACACGACCTGATATAACAGGAATTCAGCTATAACGCGGTAAAGCAGTGCTCCGGGGGGGGGGGGGAAAGAGAGGCTGCACACTTCAGTGGATCAAAGCAAGTTCGATATAACGCGGTTTCACCTACAACACGGTAAGATTTTTTTTGGCTCCCGAGGACAGCGTTATATCGGGGTAGAGGTGTACAAGTAAGGTAACTGCAAAAGGATGTGACAGAACCAATGTCTTCTCTGGACAGTAACGCCGGTTTACGTTTTTGCTTCTTTATCATAAATGCTTTGACAGTGTCTCAGCAACAATCTGACAGCAGGAGCCAATGGGCTATGTCATGGTGTTCTATTCCACCAACCATATGCCTTGAATATACAAGTGACTAAATAACCAGAATACAGTAGATTGTGAAATTTACCTCCAAATAAGAACTAGTTAGTAACTTCTAAAAGTTGCCATCACCAACTTGGTCAAAAATACAGTCCAAACTCGTTCCTGGGATTTGGTTTTAACGAGATTGAAATTACCACCATCACAATACAAAATTCATTTTAAACCTCCTCAGATTTGGCCACTTCTAGCTGCCCTTTTTTTAGACAGCTTCTCCCACTTGCCTGCGATCTGCATGGTGTAAGAAGCCACCTGCATTTAAGCTACCAGAACTCAATTAACCCTTTCTCAAAAGTATTAGGTTGTTTTATTCAAACACTAACAGCCTGTTACACTGTCTTCACAAGGGACAAATTTTAATTTAATATATTAAAAAAAAACATGCCAAAGGAAGTATGGATTATTTCACAAGAATATTAAAAAATGTTTTATCAGTGGCTGATTCATGGTTAAAAATTCTTTAAAACTTTTAAATGAAAACAATGCATTCATAGACTGATGTTATGACAGGACTTCAATTAAAGCACAGTAACTTTTTCTGCAAGTAAAAATAGTGAGAAGACAATTATACTCAATTTTAAAAACTATATTCTGATAGTGGTAGGTGTTTAGAGTCATAACAAAACAGTTCTACTTGCAAAGAATAAAGGAGAACATTGTCAGCATTTTAAAAGATAGAAAATCTATAGGTTAACTTTAACATACTAAAAATTACTTTAAAAATTATAAAAACTAGAACTAAAAAAAAAACTGATCCAGAATACAAAACTGAATAATTAAATGAAAATGAAATGACTAAACCCAATGCAACAAAATATGAAAGAGCCAAATACCGAATATTCAGAAAGTTTTACAAAAACAGTCTTCTCTGATAACGCTGAAAACTGAAAAGAAAATTTATATAGAAGCTGAATAAATAAAAAAATGCTGACCTGCCAGTGTGCTAGTGTGTCGAAATGCTCTGACTTGGGAGTCCGATAGTCCTGTAAGCAGTGAAATGACTGTATCCATCATATATTCGTCATATATGATACTATACTGACACTGTCGGACCAATACTCCAATGAACTCACAAAAACTGGATTTGAACTTCTTCCATTGAGGACCAGCCATGGTAAGTGGATAATCTCCACTATCCTACAAACACAAAAATATATTCAAACATTAGCCAGCATATAACTATAAAAAATTACATATTGTTAGAATATAACAGTACAGAATACAGATAAGTTGAAGGATTAAAAAAAGGTTTGTTCAACCAGACAGAGCCCAGTTCTCTGCTGGCGTAAATGGGCACAGCTCACTATCTGGCCCAAAAACTTATATTTACTTGTCAATTTAATTTTGCTATGCACAGAGCAAGCATTCAACTAGTGGAATTCATTGACATTCCTTGCACAAAAATTTACTGAGCTAATGTTCCACTGACCGTTTTTTTCATAACACGCTAACAAATAAAATAACGCCCCAGAAAAACAACAAAAATATTTAGTATAACCAGAGCTAAATTAACAGAAGGGCCATGTAATCAGAGTTATACACCAAGCTCATGAGCCAAGGAACTATAAGAATATTACAGAACCAGAAACCGTAAAAAGCTAAACTATTACCCCACAAAAATAACTAGTATCTACTTCCTTTCTGCCTCAAAAAAAAAAAAAAAATACTAAAAGTTAAGGGAGGAGGGAGAAACCAGTGTGCATATGTAAAGATAAAACAAGTAAAACTGGTAAGTGATTTACATTTTCCTTTATTAATTGCTGCTGCAGACCCCCATTTCAAGAGACTAACTAGCAACAGCATATTTCCCAAGGAAAGTTAAAGTGTACTTAATTAAAAAATGATTAAACCACTGTCCTGAAACAACTTCCAGACCTAACTCCAAGCAACAGAGAACAACGCTTTGTGATTGTATAACTCCAAGTGTCAGTTTGATAGATGTTATGAAGAGATGCTCCTTAAACAGTAGCTAATGATTATCTAAGATATATTCCCAATCTTTATGGCAGGGGCAGGCAACCTATGGCACGTGTGCCAAAGGCGGTACCTGAACTGATTTTCAGTGGCACTCACACTGCCTGGGTCCTGGCCACCGATCCAGGGGACTCTGCATTTTAATTTAATTTTAAATTAAGCGTCTTAAACATTTTAAAACCCTTATTTACTTTACATGTAACAATAGTTTAGTTATATATTATAGACTTATAGAAAGAGACCTTCTAAAAATGTTAAAATGTATTACTGGCACGCGAAACCTTAAATTAGAGTGAATAAATGAAGAGTTGGAACACCACTTCTGAAAGGTTGCCGACCCCTGCTTTATGATAATGTAACTCCAAACTGGTCACAGACTTGGACACAATGTATAATCCAATTAGAAAAGGTTACTCACCCAGTGCAGTAACTGAGGTTCTTAGAGATGCGTGTCCCTATGCATGCTTAGCAGTAGGTGGAGTAGTGTCCCTGTGCCTGGGATTGGAGATCTTTGGTAGCAGTGCCCGTTGGGCTGCATGTGCAATACTCGCCCATCTTGCACCTTGAGCAATGTCTATATAGTGCTATGTGGTCCAACTGCCCTCAGGTCCTTCTCTACTGCAGAGTCAATATATGAACTCTGAAGCAGAGGGGAGGAGGGTGGGTAGTGGAGCACCCATAAGGAGACATCTCCAAGAACCTCAGTTACCATATAGGGTGAGTAGCCTTCTCCTTCTTCGAGTAGTGTTCCTAGAGGTGCTCCACTGTAGATCACTGTAGAGCAAGAGTACCAGAGTTCTGTGTGGCGGATTCTGGGTGCAGGCAGCTCAGTGGGGGAGGAGGGAATCTGGATGCACAGGAGCTCGCTGGGGGGTTCTAGGAACAGGGAGAATGGGACTCTGCAGGGGCATCCAGGTGAAGATGGTTAGGGCTCAACTGGAGGATGGGGGTGTCTGAGTGTGGGGGGCCTGGTGGGAGATCTGGGTGCTAAGGGAGTGGGGCTTGGTGGAGTGGGGGTCAGGGTGCAGCTGGTTGTGGCTCAGCAGGGGGTCTGGTTGTGTGGGGCTCAGTGGGGGGTCCGTGTGCAGCTGGTTGGTGGCTCCTGATGCAGGTGGTGAAGGACTCAGTGGAGGGGGTCCAGATGCATGGAGGTTGGGTGGACAGGGAGAGCAGCTCCCACTTCCCCTGAGGTTGAGGAGCAACTGGGCCAGGAAGTGGGGTGAGTGGTCAGTGTACGGGGAGCTGCTTCCCCCATCCACCCACGCATTTGGACCCCCTGCACCCGGACCCCGCACCAAGCCCCAACCCCCCATCCAAATACAATCCACACTGCAGAGCTTCCTGCAGCTGGGGGAGGTTTCTGGGGGTTGATCTGACCCAGCCCCGGCTGCTCTGTGCAGGAGAGGGGGAACTCTGCCTCCTCAATGCTCCGTCCACAGTCAATGCATTTGAAGCAATAAGGAAAATGATGGACTTTTTCTCAGACCTCGGCCTCCAGATAAACGTACAGAAATCGATACTGAGGCCAGGATAGCATCAGGAATTTATTGGGGGCCCAACTGGATGCTATAAAGCAGTGATTCTCAACAAGGGATACACATACCCCTGCGGGTATGCAGAGATCTTCCAGGGGTACATCAACTCGTGGATACTCTGTCTCTGTCGTCCTAAACCTCCTTCCCCTCCCAGTTGGGACTGATGTCCTTGGGGGGGCCGGGGGCATCCCCAGAGGCCCCCTTCCCCCTCGCAGTGTCTTACCTCTCCCCTGGCATCTGGGGACAAGCCCGCGCTGACAGGGAAGGGTGAGCAAGCACCAGTGCAGCTTCTCTTTGCTTCCCCACAGAAACCATTTTTCTGAAGGAAAGCAAAGAGAATCTGCAGAGGGACATGTGTTCTGCGCACGTGCAGTGGCTCAGAATTCCCCCCAGGTGCAGAGGGTGGCAAGATATCAAGCCAGTTGTGCTGTTGCTCTCTAACATCCTCTAGGGGGATCCGGAGAGAATCTGCAATCCTGCGGACCTGTTCTTGGAACTGTTTAAAATTATCCGCCGATGTTGGAGGTGGTGGCATGATGGCCTCTTCAGGGTAGGATAAGAAGATGTGGGCTGGTAGTGAAGGAGAGCAGTATGTGACAAAATGTGTTTCCAGGGAATAAGCATGGACTGTTGGGAGCTCTGTATGGAGGAGCGGCGACTCTGGAGTGTCAGAGATGATCAGGTCCATCAGGTGGCAGAACTCTTGCGGTACCAGCAAAAGCATCATCGCTATCAATAGTTGCGTATGTATCGAAGCAGACATAGTGGATAACGACAGTGTCGCTGTTAAAGTGCTTTCCTTCGAACAACCAGTAGATGGTGCCGAGAGAGTCGTCAGTGCCAGGGGCTTCATGAGCGCTGATGCACTTGAAGTCGTTGAGGGGATCGGTGCCAACTGAGATTTTTTTTCCTCTCTGTCTGTCTCAGTCCCGGTTCTGAGTAATGGTGTGCCTATTTGTAGTCCTGCTGTTTTAGGGTCTTTGAACGTCTCAACAATCCCAGTACTAGAGGTGTCCGGATGGTCACAAGAGCCGGGTCTCGCCCCAAAGATGTTGAGCGTCTGACCTCAAAAGTGACGTCTTTTCCTAGGTGGCTCCTTGGTGGATGAGCTGGGGACCCATTTCTTCTGGTCTTGGCAGAACAGTGAAGATTTTCTTTTGTGGTGAGCAGCGAGTGGGGACTGGCCACAGAGGAGAGGTATCGGGGCCCGGGTCTGAGGTTGGTTGCAGTGAGCTCTCCATTAGTAAAAGTTTTAGCCTCAATTCACAGTCCTTTCAGGACAGAGCCTTCAATTTGAGGCAGTGGGTGCACTATTGTGATATGTGCCCCTCACACACGGTATGCACCATGATTGGCCATCACTCACTGGGATGGCCTCATAACAGGAGAGGCACCACAACAAGAGAGGCACGCTGGAAATCTGGCTAAAGCCCCAGTAGGGAAAGGCAGAGAAAGGGAAACCTATGTTAATCTAAAAATAACGGGGAGGAAAAAGCCAAAGGAAAAAAAAAGAGGGGGGTAAAGGAAAGAAAAAAAATGAAAGGAAATAGCTACAAACTCAGAAATAGTTACGAAAGCACTAGTATTACTAAGGGCAGTAAAGACGTATGCAGGACTCTGCTAAGGATTCCATCGCAGGCCAAGGCCATTGAGAAGGAACTGAGGGCGGGTGGACTGCCCAGAGCTATATAGATTCAACTCATGATGCGATACAGGGAGGAGCACATGTGCTCAATGGGTGTGGCTACCGAAGATCTCCAATCCCAGGCGCAGAGACGCTATCACACCTACAGTGGAGCACCCATAGGGACACTAATCAAAGAACAACATCTAAAATTAAGAAAGAAGATTTTACATTTTGGCCTTAATGCCATAGGGTATAAACAATCAAAATATTTTGAGTTATTTCCAAATTGTGACAAAAATGTCTTTTTATACATTTAGTCTGTGCAATCTCGCCTGGCAGATCCTGAGACCTATGATAAAATGTAGAGAATTATAAACTGATTTCTGAGAAAATCTGTTACCATCTTAGGCAAAAGTATTCAATGAGGTTTTAGAACCTTTTTTTTTTTTTTTTAAATACAGAGCAAGAAAGATCAGCCATAAGACCCTGCATCTCATTCACCCTAATGCTCAATGCAACAGCCAATAAGAAGGCAATTTACAAGGAAATAGCATAAAGAACATTCCCATGAAGGGTCAAAGGATAAAACCATCAATTAGGTAAGACCCAAATTTAAGTCCTGGGGACTTATGGGTTCATCAACTGATGGAAGTAAGTTTAGCAGTTATTTAAAAAAAAAACACTTTAACTGATGAATAAGGACAAAATTAAAGTCCCCTTACACACACACACACACACTAGGCTGACATGGACAATCAGTGAAGATAAGGAAAAGCTAAGATTCTTCAGAAATAATATAATCCAATATCCAGGGAATCTAATTTTCTTTAAGCGGTTATTTTATTATTTGTATTCTAATAATCCCTCATTAATTGAGATTGTCGTCCCTCTGTGCTAGGCACTGTAAACACACAGTAAGAGACAGCAAAATAATTAAGAGAATAGAATAAACTTTCAAATTTCAATGCACTTTACTTACTTATGGAACCTTGATTCCAACA